TGCTGAGTGTCGCTCTGCCTGGGAATGTCAGTGCGTTCGTTGTTATTGGCATGTGAGTGACTTATGTAACAAGAAGAGGAAGGCGCAGTCTGACATCCTTAGGCAGGTCATGGTCTCCTGGTATAACTCGTACTGTGGAGCTTGACCTAGTCGATTGGCTTACGAGGAGTGGGGGAAATGTGTGGACCTCCCCAACCCTCGCCTGCTTTGTCGAGTGCGAGTGCCAAAAAAAACCTGCCGAACACCCAGCATCTAGAGATCATTTTCTGAAAAGAGTTTGCCGATGCTGATGATGGTATCTGGTATCATAGCGCGACATTGCTTTGCAGGAGTTCTGGCCGGGACCCCTCAGCATTGTGGGCCCTGCTCGCCAGTCCCTCAGCTATCAGAACTCAAATCCCCAAAGCCCAAATGAGACTTGGCTGCTGGCTCAAGCCGGTGATTGCGCGGCACCGAGTCCAAAGTTGTTGATATACTCACATAACCTTGCGAAGTGTGAAGTTCTGCATCGCCGTGATATCAAATCCAGTTCAATTTCGGCTTAATCCAGCCTGACTGTGTTATTAAAACCTGTGATGTTTATTGAAACCTATGATGTTCAACATTCGCCGCCCTACAGAAGCTTTGGGTGCCGCGCAGGCTGAGAAATGCTGAGAATGAACTTCTGAGCAGAACCGCCAAAGCTGTAATAACAGAGGACGAGGTGAAACTAACCGTTGCGGGTCACCGCAATGTGGGCTTTCGTGGTAAAGAGAGGGCCGGGCGAGATGGTTTCCACGACACAGCATATCGCGTTCGTCATCGTGCGACTCGAGGAAGGAGCCACCGGCGACAAAGACCACTTTAGTGACTTTAGTGGATCGCCGACAATAATCATGTCAAATGCACCTTGCCAAAGTGCCGGGCATGGTGTCCGTTGATCTGCAGCTGGCTTAGGTTGTGAGGAAGTGTTCGGTGGATCCACGGATCTAGTTCTGCGTTTGTTCTGGGATTTTGCCACACCATGTCGCAGTCTTTCCTTCGCGATGATCCCATCTCGTGCATGATCCAGCACAGAGCCGCGCCTAGCAAGACGATTCGAAGCTGCGGGATTGTGTTCTTGAGCTCTTCTCTACCTTGAGTTCTGCAGAGTAAATTGAATCATCTGCGGTTATGAGGTGCTTCAGAGATGCCAGGCTATCACCGATCAATACAGGTGCCTCATTCCCGGGCACGGGATAAGACTGGTTTGTTTGACCACCCGGGCAGGGCACGCTCTTGTTCTGTCGTTTCCCGCCTTCCGACTTCAATCTTTCCGAGAGTGAGAGTCTAAATCCAGACGCAATCTCCAGAAAACATGCTAAACCACAAGATCCTAAGCTTAAGGACCGCTAGGTCAGAACCTTTTTTGAAGAATCCCCAATTCTTTGCTCGAGCCGAGGCCCAGTGGTTCCTCCGCAGGTCACGGCCAGCACTGGCTTCGTGGCGGTGCGCTGCCCGTCCCATCCCCTTGCAAGGCCCAGCGGCTGTTGGCTGAACACGTAAGACGTAAGGGACGTGACGGCATAGGCGCTGATTTTTCGAAGTACTCCTGACATTCAGAAGCCTCGAACGTCTTTTCGCAGTTCGCGTGCATGCGGATTCACACGATGGTCGGAGTCTAGATACCAAAAACCCTAAACCCTGATAACAGGGCACTGAAGCATCGAAAGGCAGTTGGTCGAAGCCGCCGGTGCACGGGCCTTGTCAGATCGGTTTCCTTTCAGTCTTGGCTGTTGCAGTTCACGTTGCAACCTCTAAGAAACCACTGGCAGCGCCTTCTGCGAATCGCTTCGGCCATATTTCGCCGACGCTTCCCGACCACGTGCTGCAGGCCTGGAGGGTTTGGGGACTGGGTTTAAGGAGCTAATGGCTTGCAGACTGCGGGACTTAGGCTTCACGGCTTGTGGGAAGCAGCTGATGGTCCACTCAACTGCTACTGTATAGGTATAGGTCTCCCTCAACACATATCTGCAGCTGTTTGCCGAAGGACTTACAGCACGTGCCCTTCCTTCAGATCCTCGATGGCGGACCCTGCAATGTTGGCATTGAGCCATTGGGTCTGCACTGATTTTCAGGACCAGCTTCTCCAGCTTTCCTGAAGCCAACTTCAAGCACCCCTACACCTCAAACCCTCGACTTCCACACCTTCAGCTCAGGTCAACCGTGGTGAAGCTTGACCTGGCAAGTTCTGCGAAATCACTGCTGCTCTTGCGGCAAGGCGGCTTACCGCGCGAGCGGCCGCTTGGACAAAGGATGACAAAGGTTTCGCTGGCCCGTCGAAGGCTAGACAGGTTCGTGCAGCTGTATCCATATGTATAATCATCAGCCTTAAACCCAGAGGGACACAGGGCAACCGGCGAACAGAAAAGAGGTTTGAAACCAGAATCCAAATCCTCAATGTGTTCGAGTGTCAGTACTACAGTGTACTACAGTGTACTACATGTGGCGGCAGTACCGCAACACCAATACTAACATATACTAGCATAGTACTGGTAATGTTATCATTAGTTTGCACCGAAACACCCTAAACCCTAAATGTACCTGCTGATCTTGTTACGTTTCCAATATTCTCCTTTTTGTATATTGCTTCCTTTTCTCTTAGCATGCAGTTGCTGATGCCCTCGGCTTAATCTGTAGACGAGTGGGGACAGAACTATGCGGAGCCTTGCCGGCCGTGTGCGAGTGTGAGAGTCGAAATGTACCTTCTAATTGCTGAGACACTGCTTTGGGCTTTGTGTTGCTTGTGGAAGACTGCTGATGGCCAGTACTATTACTAAGCGTAATGGTGGTATGGTGGTGAATCCCCGATGGCAGGTCTCCCAGTACTATATACCCCTCAACCAAACGTGATATTCCGACTCCTGACATGGGTCAGTAACTTGCACTAGGACTTCTTGCGTCGTGAGCACCGCAATACCACAGAGCTGACATTCAGTAAACCAGTGCTGTGAACGTCAGCTTGACATGGGTAGTAGGAAAAGAGGGCTCAAACAAAAACGTATCTTCTAGCGGATGGAAAAAGGCGTTCAAAAACAGATACACCCTGAGTGTCTGAGTGTGAGAGCCGAAACCCTAAATAAACATGTCAGTTCTTCGAGGTTGGAGTCCTATCTGGCGGAGTGCTTTCAACGCGGAGAGCTTCAGGTGCTGAAGTTCGACGTCTGGCTGTCGCTTTTAGTTCGAGGGTTTCGGGCCTAGGGAGAAATTATGCCAGGCGTTTTCGATACCCATTGATCCGATGCTCAAGGTTGGAAAATCTTAAGATGAAACGCTGACATCTCATTCACGCCTGGAGGCGCAGATGCCAGCTTTACAGTCTAGGCAGTCCCCCAAGCATCTGTGAGCAATGATTCTTCTGGTACTTCGACGTTTGCAGCGGTTAGCATAAAACGCAGTTTATTCGCGAAGGCTATGTGCAACTGAGGCTGTAGTTGAAGGCTAGTCATGTCGCCATCACAGTCTTTCAAGTTTCAAGCCTGGACAGCCTTGCCGAGGGGATTGTATCAACACAGTCGATTGGAGAACTCCTTCGGTTACCACAGCTGCCATCGCTAGTGAAGCCCTACCTACGAAACCGCAGGCATGCTAAGTCCATGTTACAACATCGCTGAGCAGGAAAGCATCTCCGTGGTGTCCATAGCACGAAAGCCGAGGCAATCCTGACAGTCAATAGCCTGGTCGACTGTTTTTTGTTTTGGTTTTTCTGAGTTGTTGTTTGCCTTACGGGCCCGGAATACGAACACTACTCAAACAGTTGCCCACACCTGAACTTCAACTGGTCAGCATTGTTGTATAGAGCCCTAAATACGATACCTGCAATCATGCAAAGCAGCCTAAGTTTCGAGTCCACGCCAGGCAGTATTGCGCACACTTTGTCGTGTGCAGAATTCATCTACGGTTATGTACGCAACATGCATTCAGCGGGATAGAAGAAGCCATCTTGCGGCAGGATGACAGAACACAATATGATAGAGGTGCGGCGTGCACTAGGAGTCTTGTTCGTGCGCTTCTCGGCGTGGGGAGAGCTCACGTCACGTGGGAGAGTATCACAGCGCACTGCTCCAAACCTGCAGCCCTCAGGGCACGTTTTAGTGACATAGCTGCCGGGATCTGCCGGGTGTCAGGACTTGGCAAGTGCGGTTTTTGTGTACAATTTAGCTGCAAGACCGACTCCGCGTATTCCCTCCATGCTGTTTGGAGCACTGCCACTTGCGGAGACTGCGACATGTGCTGGGCGAAAAACCACCAGTTTGGGCAGAGCGGGTGGGTGTCGGAAGTGAAGCAACTCGAACACAGCTTGAGAGAAGCTCTGCACCGGCATCTGGTGTGTGTGGATTCGCTCGTGCGTGCAAGCGCACTGCGACACCTTGGATTTGAACATGTTGAGGTCGTGCAAAAAATTGTCCGTCGCTTCTAATCACGACTTTGACTCCCCGAACACAGAGAAACAGAGAGGAGGCACTTTTAGCACATGTAGTTTCAGGAAGCCCAGAAGTTCCAAACTTGGTGTTTTTTTGGCAAACTTGCGCTAAGCACACACTAAGCCCGTAAAACAGGCGTGCACTGGGCAGGTCGGACCCAGTGGTCAAGCCTGATGACGAGGCGCAAATGGCACCTGGCATGCTGCTCGGTTTGCACTTTCATGTGCTATTGCCGCTATAGCTGATATTGCAGGCTTTATGTTGCCTAAATTCGTTTTAACCTGCTGATGTGTCACATGTTGTTGTCGATCAATCAGAGTGTGAGCACCTGGGGTACGATGTGACGACTCATGTTACGATGCCAATGAACACATGGGCGGGTGCCCCAAATAAAGCCGCGATGCCCTTCAATACTGTGAAGATTGGCCCCTCTTGTTGCTCGCTCGCCGGTGACCGCTCTCCCCCACCCCGCTAGATTGAAGTTAATGCTTTGGTTAGGAAACTCCACCAGCTGATGCAGGGTTTGAGCCAGGGTTCAAAACAACTCCGCTTCCCATGCGAAGTGCAGAAGCACAACGAGCTACATGAAGGTCAGAATCACGGAGGGGCAAAGCCGCCCCCATCTAACAAACTCAACGAGGTGTTCATTCATTGCTCTCTGGTTGCTGGCGCAACTAACCTGTACAAAGATGGCAGCTGCTGGCAGCACGAAATTGTGGATGCTTCCGACAGCTGCTTTGAATGCTCCTGCTCACGCACTCGTCGGCCTGCTGCACAGCCAAATGCAGAGTGAGTATTTCCACGTGGTCCTGCGTCAGCTCTTTTTTTGTTGACGCCTGAGTTGTCTTGAATCCTGTGCCGCCCGTGCTATGATATTACCAAGGCTCCTGAAGCATTATGCACCATCTGTCAGGGACTCAGCGCTCCGCACAGACATCGAGCCGTGCACGAGTGGTCCATGATCACTTGGCTGGAGGTGCACACCGTGCTTCTCTCACCCAGCTCTTTGTACGATGGCGGGCTGGAAATACCCAGCCCGCCACATCGAAGCGTGCTGTCTCTTTCTCAGCCATCCGGGCGGAGCATAGCCACACTGGCACCTGCCAGCGCCTGGCTCAGGATTGACTTTGGCGGAAGACAAGCGGATCACCACGGGCTCTTCCTGAAGGTTTACGAGCTCTGTGAGAAGGAGCATGCACATGCGGTACGTGTAGCTGCTTCTCGGAAGGCGCGAGGTGTGTCCAAGACACTTGTCTTGAAGCTTCGGTTTCGCATTGGCAATTGCAGCAATGTAGGGGCCTTAATAGTTTGAATAGGGTTTGGGGGGTTCCTTACTAAATTATTATATATCCCGAAACCTGGTTCTAATTTTTACGGCCCCTATCATGCAGGATGGAGCAGCTGGCAAAGGGACAGCTGAGGACCGCGAATTCACCGGGAGAGACAGTCGCACTCCGCTTGTGCATCCGCTGTCTCGCGAAAACCCTAAACCCTAAACCCTATAGCTTACGGCGGTCATGGGCCGAGCTTGGCACGTTTTGTTCTCTGGAGCAGGCCAGCATTCAAAACGCTTGTTGAATCTCTGGCCACATCACGAGAACTCTGTTTCATTCGGAGGACGCCTGCAGGCATGTTTTCGCCACTCTGCGAGCTGCGGAAGCGTATGCAATTGCGGAGAAGGCAACAGCGTTCAGCCTTCACTCATGTGCGAAGTCCGTGGTCGCATTCTTGACAGGCGGAGCTCATCTGCGTTGCAGATTTCGATCCGGAAGGCTTGGGAGGATACGCTGAGGCTTTGCACGACAGGCCAGTGCGGTGCATGCTCATTTTCTGTGTGAGCTCTCCTGCTTAGAGCATTCAGGGTCTGAATGCAAACAGGACTGGCAGTAGCGAGGTAGTGCATTCTCATGGTTGGGATTACGATCCTATACTGATATGTGGCTGGGTGTTGCCGGGTGCGCAGTGCTCATTGGAATATGTTTCGAACCGGGACATCCAGGATATCCAGGCAGGTCCGCACAGCCCTACAGTAACATCTTCGGGGCACATGCGAGAGCACGGACCAGCAGTAACCACGGTCTGTTTATGTTTACTTTCGCCTCGTCCTATCACAACCGATTGTGTTGACTTGCACTGGTGCTTTGCGCCGCCATCGTTGTTCGGGGTTCCGCCGGCAGTCTATGGCCCACGTCCTCGAGCTGACTAATTAGTGGGTGCAACGGGCAGGCAAGACAGAAGGGCATTTGAGATGTCAGTGCCATACATCTTTGGCCAGCCGCAGATCGCGCGTTGCCGACAGTGGTCGCAGAAAGCAGAAAGCATGACTGCGTGCAACTGCTTCAGCGAGTGTGTCGTGGCTTGCGGCTTACCCAGAAGGAGATGGCATCAACCCATACGCACTCCTTCCATACCGTTGGCCGGGTGTGGGGGCGCTGTGTGCACGGGTATTCCCAATGCTCCTTGGGGCCAACGCACCATGGGTGAGAATGGTGAATGACAGTGGGGCGATGGGCTAACGCGCCTGCTGGGGAGCAAACTGTCCGGGAATGTACATGCATGGGCATCGCAGCCGAGTCGTTGTCTTGGCGCAGCCGACAGTCAGTGGCGGCATCTTCTGAGATTCTAAGTTGGCTGTTTCATGCAAGATCATGCAAGGTGCGAAGCTGTGACATATCATATGAAGACAAAGAAACTACTGTAGCTGTTGTCCGTGTTTTCCACGGGTGCCGTGCCAGATTCAGAAAGCAACAGCATAGCGGCATAGCTCCGGTTCGCCAGCGTGGAGAGTGTGTTGTGGCTTGCGC